GCCGCTGGCGTGGATCCAGCCAAGACTCATTACCCTCATCACTGTCCACCTGTGGCTGCGTGGACGTGCTTGGCCCCGGCCCTATCTCTTGCCCTTCGGCGGACACCGAAGGCATTGCCAGAGAGGAGGGAACTGGAGAGGGAGGCCTTGCCAACTCCTCTCCTTCGCTCTCGGAGTCCTCTCCTGCCGATGACACAGGCTCAGGTAACGGAGCCACAACAAGGGGTCTCCAACCTTGGCAACTTTAAACCTGGCGGACTTCAACTCCCAGAATTCCCCAACCAGCTCCCATTCTGGGAGTTGAAGTCAGCCAGGCTTAAAGTTGTCAAGGTTCAGAGGTGGTTTTCAGCCGGTTCAGACCGGTTCGCCAGAACCGGTAGTAGAAATCATGGGTGGCCGCCGCAGTTCTATGTCATCCTATTTAGGCATGTTTTTGAGGCTGGGCGCATGCACTGAAGGTGCGCAAGCAAAGCACATGCCAGAAGGCCAACCGCATGTGCGGAAGGCAGGCATGCGCGCAAACCGGGGGCGCACGCGCAGGGCAAACTGGTAGTAACATAATGTGAAACCCACCACTGCCAAGGTTGGAGACCCCTGTACTAGAGGGCGTCCCCTTAAATATGAGCCAGCAGCAGCCACCAAACAAAGCTAATACAATCCTTGGTTGTGTAAACAGAGACGTAGAATCAAAACAAGGCGAAGTATTAGTACCACTTTGTAAAGCCTTTGTGAGGCCACACCTGGGATACGGAATCCAGTTTTGGTCACCACATTACAAAAAGATGTTGAGACTTTGGAAAAAGTGCAAAGAAGAGCAACTAAGATGATTAAAGGTCTGGAGGCTAAAACATATGAAGAACGGTTGCAGGATTTGGGTTTGGCCAGTCTAGAGAAAAGAAGGACTAAGGGGGACATGATAGCAGTATTCCAGTATTTGAGGGACTGCCACAAAGAAGAATTTATTGTCCAAAACACCAGAAGGCAAGACAAGAAACAATGGTTGGAAACCAATCAAGGAGAGAAGCAACCTGGAATTAAGGAGAAATTTCCTAATAGTGAGAACAATTAACCAGTGGAACAACTTGCCACCAGAAATCATGGGCGCTCCATCACTGGATGTTTTTAAGAAGAGGCTAGATAGTTACTTATCTGAAATAGTATAGGTTCTCCTGCTTGAGCAGGGGGCTGGACTAGAAGACCTCCAAGGTCCCTTCCAGCTCATTCATTTTATTCCAGTCAGTGGAACGACTTGCCTCCAGAAGTTGTGGGGGCTTCAACCCTGGAGGTTTTTAAGAAGAGACTGGACAGCCGCTTGTCTGAAATGGTATAGGGTCAGCAACCTGCAGCTCCAAAGCCACATGTGGCTCTTTGGGCCCTCTGCTGTGGCTCCCTGTCGGGTGATCCCACCACTGGCTGTCCCCACCCCTCGCCCCCCCCTCCCAGGCACTCCTCTCCTGGCCTTAGAAGGTAAGGGTGACGACAGGGGATGGAGAAGCGGCCAGGGCAGAGACCGAGAGATACAGAGAAAGGGGGAGAGAGAGAGAGAGATACAGAGAGAGAGGGAGAGCGGGGGAGAGAGAGGGGGAGGGGAGAGGGAGAGAGATACAGAGAGAGAGGGAGAGCGGGGGAGAGAGAGGGGGAGGGGAGAGAGAGACATAGAGAGATACAGAGAGAGAGGAAGGGGAGAGAGAGACATAGATACAGAGAGAGGGAGAGCGGGGGAGAGAGAGGGAGGGGAGAGAGAGACATAGAGAGATACAGAGAGAGAGGGAGAGCGGGGGAGAGAGAGAGGGAGGGGAGAGAGAGACAGAGAGAGATACAGAGAGAGAGGGAGGGGAGAGATATGTCAAAAAGTTTTTGTGGTTCCCGGTGTTTTTTTAACAACTGGTTCTCTGCCCTAATGACCAGCTGGGTAGGCATGGCTAAGGGGAGGGGTCATGTGACTGGTGGAAGTGAGTGACATCGAGTTGGCCACACCTACCCAGGTTTTGTGGCTCCCGGTGTTTTCTTTTCTGTGGGAAACGGGTCCAAATGGCTCTTTGAGTGCTTAAGGTTGCAGACCCCTGGCGTAGGGTCTCCCACTTGAGCAGGGGGCTGGACTAGAAGACCTCCAGGGTCCCTTCCAGCTGTATACTGATCGAAATTAAATGTAAATAAGTGCACCATGCATGCAATTCATCTCTAGAGCTTTTATTTTGAAGGCAACTGCTCCTTTTTTTCATCTTATGTATGTTCGTGTGTGCGGTGCCTACACACCTTCACGGCCTTATTAGTCTGCCCTCCAGAACATTGTAGCCTGTTGGGAAATTTAATTGCACCCCCCTCTCCAAGTTATGTAGTACCCCAGAAGGATTAACATGGACCCCAGGCTAGGCTCCTTGGCAGAGGTGGTATTCAGCAGGTTCTAACCAGTTCTGCAGAACCGGTAGCGGAAATTTTGAGTAGTTCGGAGAACCGGTAAATACGACTTCTGACTGGCCCCACCCCCAATCTATTCACTGCCTCCTGAGAGGAAATGGGGATTTTGCAGTATCCTTCCCCTGGAGTCGGGAGAGAATGGAGATTTTATAATATCCTTCCCCTGCCACGCCCACCAAGCCACGCCCACCAAGCCACGCCCACAGGAAGTAGTAAAAAAAATTTTTGAATCCCGCCACTGCTCCCCGGGGAAGAGATTTCCCACACCGAAAAGCCTTCAAATTCTTTTAACTCCCCCCCCCGACGCACATTTTTTATTTGATTTTTCTCCTTTTTGAAATAATGTAATTTATAGTATCTTTATCAGTAGGAAATGAATCCTGCCTCCTTTTGGGATAAAACACCCTTCGAAACCCTTGCAATAAATCACCTGACGGGCATTTTAAAAAAAACCCTCTTTTCAAAAACATCCGTAAGAATTATTATTGCGATAGGCCGCACGGTCAGCCAGACGTCGAACTTCGATTTGGCATTTTTATCCGCCTGTCGAGTCTTTCCTAAGGATCCAGGACAGGCAGATGTTATGTAATGATATTAAAAGGATCCCTTGCCGGATATAAGCTGTTTCACATTACAAGTTGTCTTCGATTTACAACAGTTCACTTAGTGACCATTTGAGGTTACCACGGCCCCGAAAAAGTGACGACCGTTTTTCACACCGATGACCCTCGCAGCATCCCCCAAGGTCACCTGATAAAAATTCAGATGCTTGGCAACTGACTCACATTTGTGACGGTTGCAGTGTTCCGGGGGGGGGGTGTCCCATTGACAAGCAAAGTCAATGGGGAAGCCAGATTCACTTAACAACTGTTGTGGCCTGTACGCGGCCTGTGCAGCTAGTAGCTGATTCTGACAGCGAGGAGGCTGGAGTGGTGCTGCGCCAGCAGCCTGTGCAGCTGGCACTCGAGTCGGACAATGAGGAGGCTGGAGAAGATGTGGTGCCAGAGGCGGGGATTCAGCCAGGGCCTTCAGAACCTCCAGAAGCTCCCATAAGTGAAGAGGACGAAGAGGAGAAGGAGCCTCTTCTCAATGCACGGGCGCGCAGAGCTGCCAAAAGGCAGGAGGTCTCCTCAGGAGGAGGTCTCCTCGAGAGTAAGGCTTGGGGCTAATTGGCCACTCCCTTAGCCTATTTAAGGAGGAATGCCAACTGAAGCAATTTGCAGGGAACAACTTCGTTCACATACCTTCATATCTTGTTTTGCTTATCTTATCAGTTTCCTGCAAATTGCTTCTGGGCATTCTGCCAACCATAGTAAGTTTTCAGTTATTATTCTTTGAATTCTTGGTGGCTGTTAATGCAATTAATTAACAGCCGTTGTTATAAAAGACTGGTTTATTCAGTAAACTAAGGTTTGAACGGAATTTGTGTGTGCTGCGTTCTTTGGGGTCCGTAGCCGGGGCAGAACACAACTGGGTTATACTAACTTAACAACTGTGGCAAGAAAGGTCAAAAAAATGGGACAAAGCCGTTGTGAAAAAGCCATTGTGAATTTTGCCCGCTATTACGACTTTTCTTGCAAGAGTGGTTAAATGAATTCACTGCACTTGCTAAGTTAGTAACGCGGTTGTTAAGTGAATCTGGCTTCCCCATCGACTTTGCTTGCCAGAAGGTCACAGAAGCTGATCACATGATTCCCCCCCCCAAGGCACCCCAACCGTCATAAATATGAGTCAGTGGCCAAGCATCTGAATGTTGATCATGTGAGCAACAGTGGGTTTCACATTTTGTTGCCACCGGTTCGCCGCACGCATGCTCACTCGCTTCGTGTGCACGCGCAATTTCCATACATGTGCCCAGCCTTCCGTGCATGTGTTTTGCTCACGCACGCGCCTTCCATGCATGCGCCCATCCTCAAAACCGTGCCTAAATAGGGCAGCGTAGAGCCGGGAGGAGTGAGCGGGCCCACCTGAGATCTCCGCTACAGATTCGCCTGAACTGGTACAAACCGGCTGAATACCACCTCTGCACCAGGGGTGAAATCCAGCAGGTTCTGACAGGTTCTGGAGAACCAGTAGCGGAAATTTTGAGTAGTTTGGAGAAACGGCAAATACCACCTCTGGCTGGCCCCCGAGTGGGATGGGAATGGAGAGTTTGCAATATCCTTACCCCAGGAGTGGGGTGGGAATGGAGAGTTTGCAGTATCCTTCCCCTGGAGTGGGGAGGGGAATGGAGATTTTGCAGTATCCTTCCCCTGGAGTGGGGAGGGAATGGGGATTTTGCAGTATCCTTCCCCTGGAGTGGGGAGGTAATGGGGATTTTGCAGTATCCTTCCCCTGGAGTGGGGAGGTAATGGGGATTTTGCAATATCCTTCCCCTGGAGTGGGGTGGGAATGGAGATTTTGCAGTATCCTTCCCCTGGAGTGGGAGGGAATGGAGATTTTGCAGTATCCTTCCCCTGGAGTGGGGAGGGAATGGAGATTTTGCAGTATCCTTCCCCTGAAGTGGGGAGGTAATGGGATTTTGCAGTATCCTTCCCCTGGAGTGGGGTGGGAATGGAGATTTTGCAGTATCCTTCCCCTGCCACGCCCACCAAGCCACGCCCACCGAACCGGTAGTATAAATATTTGGATTTTCACCACGCGACCCCGGGAATGCTGCAATGGTTTGTAAGTGTGAAAAATGGTCATAAGTCGCTTTTTTCACTGCCGTTGTAATTTTGAACGGTGACTAAATGAATTGTTGTAAGTCAAGGATTACCTGTATTTCTGCAAGATGGCGGAAGCCCAGAGTTCCTAGGTTAGACTCCCCCTCCCCCAAAAGCCTTGCATTGCAGCCTAGCTCTCTGTATGAAATTCCTCCAAGGAGAGGACCCAATTGAGATCTGTGGATCTAGTTCCTGGCCCACTCCTAGGGCAGGAATAGCCTTGGATCTCCCACAAAAGGCGCTGCCGGAGGTTGGTTGAATTGCGCCATCAGGAAGACGCCAACGGTGCCGAAGATAAAAACGGAGGCCATGATGAGGAAACAGACACGGTCAATGACTCTGCCCACCAGGATCCATTCTTCATTTTCCTGGAAAGAAAGAAAGAAAAATAAATAAATCAAGGGAACTCAAAGAGTTCTCCGAATGTTGGGGTGGAGAAGAACGGTGGGCCCTGGAGAAATCCTTATAACCATGGTTGTATAATGTCGAACCATAGTTGTATGTCATCCAAGGCTTTCTGGTCCTTTCGAAAAAAAGCTTTCCAAGGACTCAGATGCAACTCAAATTCTGCCTCCCGGCAGAAGAGTCAAAAAAGTCAAGATGGCAGCCACGTATGTACGACACAAGTAAAACCTAGAGTAGAATTTCCATCATGGTGGCAGCTCCCATCGTTTTTTGACACACACACACACACACAGGAAGATCCAGCTTTTTTCCTCACATGTGTGGGCTTCACAGCATGGACCTGTGTGGACTTCAACTCCCAGAATTCCCCAGCCAGCTATGAATTCTGGGAGCTGAAGTCCATGCCATCTTAAAGTTGCTTAAAGTTGAGAAATAAGATTGAGAAATAAGGCTGAGAAATTCTGAGCTAGAGGCTATCTTTGAGGAGATTTTTGACAATAAGAGTTATTTCATTCATTTAAAATTTAGCAGGAGAATCTATTAATTTATTAAATTTATCTGCCATCCATCTCATTTCGAAATGACTCTAGATGGCTTTGTACGGGAGGAAGGAAGCCGGATTAGGGTAATATCTCAGTTGTCTCCGTCTTAAATTCAGATGAATTTCTGTTAATTCTGCCTCTTTTCCTTCCCAGCTCACCCTCATCCTGCCCCCTTTTGCCACATTCTGGGCACCCTTTCTGAAAACACCCAAAGATTGATACACACATTTCCTATAATTTTTACTCACATTTTCTGCTAAGATGTATGATATTTAAACCTGGCGGGTGCCTTTTTAAATCTGCTAGTTTCTTAAAACTCACAACATTTTGCGTTTCTTAAAAGAGTGGTCCTAGGACATCTGGGAGACACCCCCCCTCCCGAGACCCCCCCCGAGAACCTCCATTTTGGCCTGCAATGTGCCGGGGGGAGGCCTGCGGAGGTCCGAACGGAGCGTCGGAGGGGCGGACACGGCTAAGAGGCTAGAAAGGAGACTTCTTGCTAGATCTTCACATGGTAAGTGACCCGGCGGGGCAGATTGGGTGGGTGGAGGAAGCAATTGTGGGGGAGCATGAGATATTTCAGTAGGTTGGGGAGGCCTTGGGTGGTCTTAGGCAGGTGGCCTAATCTATCATTAGCCCTCCCCCACCCCCATGGCCTTCCCCACCCTGAAATACTTCATGTGCACTTAATGAACTTCGTATTCGATTAGCGAATATGTGGGTAAAGGAGGGAGTGATCCCCTTCAAGATACGAGATTCACTCCCATGAATCCTTGGGTTATGAATGGACTGGGCAGGCTCCACTACATTCGTAACTCCAGGGCTATCTCTGTTCTGTTCTGTTCTGTTCTGTTCTGTTCTGGGCATTTTCTCTACTCTACTCTACTCTACTCTACTCTACTCTACTCTACTCTACTCTTGTTACATAACCAACTGGTAAAGAATCACCTTAGCCCATCAGAACTCCCCCAGTTGACCAATAGGAGAGCTAAGAGCCACAATGTCCCACCTCCTGAGGTACCGTAGCACCCGAAGGTGCAAAACTCTTATCGCTTTGACTCCACTGCAAAGAAGACAACCTTTGGTACACCCATGTGCGCAAGAGAGGTGGGGCTTCGATCGTGACAATGCACCCCTCATCTTTCCGATTTTGACACACGCACACACCCTCCACAATGTCATGGTTGGAGAAAGAGACAGCCAGTGGTGGGATTCAGCCGGTTCGGGCAAACCGGTAGTTAAATTGCTGGCTGGCCCCTCCCCTTATTGCCCCACCCTTTACAGGAGTCCTCCTGCAGCCTGTTTTTGCTCCCAGGGGGCTGCAGGAGGCCGGGTGCTGACTGTTACACACCCTTGGCCATGCCTACTATCAGTGGTGTGTGGCATTGTTTGGTGGGTGTGGCTTGGTGGGTGTGGCAGGAGAAGGATACTGTAAAATCTCCATTCCCACCCCACTCCAGGGGAAGGTTACTGCAAAATCCCCTTTTCCTCCTGATCAGCTGGGACTCTGGAGACAGAGAATAGATGGGGACGGGGCCAGTCAGAATTTTTACTACCGGTTCTCCGAACTACTCAAAATTTCTGCTACCGGTTCTGCAGAACTGGTCAGAACCTGCTGAAACCCACCTCTGCCACATCCACCCAACCGGTCATTAGGGCAGAGAACCGGTTGTTAAATTATTTGAATCCCACCACTGGAGACAGCTAACAAAAGTTTCCACGGGCTGGAAAACTTTGTAATGAAGAAAGCGGGATGGGGAAAACCTTTCTTTTTACAGAGAAAAAAATAATTTTTTTTTCAGAGGCTGTGAAACAGCCGACAATTTGGACACCTTTCCTGCACAAAAAGCACGAAACAAAATAAGTTTCCCCGCTGAACAATTTGTTTTCCAGCACTTTAAATCTAACTTATTTATGAAGTCCAAATGGGGGGAAAAAACTGCTGAGGGAAATAAAGAGAGAGAGGTTGAAAATACAATCTGATGATCAATTTCGGCTTGCCAGAGAGAATAGATGAATGTGGTTTCTGATTGCTTTCTCCGATTCGGGTCTAAGAGAAATGCTGATAAATGTCTATTTTCTTTCCAAAGGAATGAAGCCGAATGGCGAGATTTCCAGTTTTCCTTTCTTTTTTTTTTTCAAAGATTTTTTAACCTGCCTCTCAAGAAAACATGGAAGGGCAGGAGGTGAAGCTCCAGACGTAAGAATCAATCTTCATAAACATAAAAATCAGGGGTGAAATGCTCCCGGTTCGGACCGGATCACCCGATCTGGTAGCAATGGTGTCGGGTGGTTCGGAGAACCAGTAGCAAAAATCTCTGCCCTCCCCGCCCCCCATGCCCAGCTGAGCCGCGCAATCATCAGAGGCTTTTTTTTCTTTTAAATGCCTCTGACGATCCCAGCTGAGTTGCCCGATCGTCAGAGGCATTTAAAAGAAAAAAAGCCTCTGCCGATCAAGCAACTCAGCTGGGATCGTCAGAGGCTTTTGAAAGCATTTTTTTACAACCTCTTTGCCGAAGAGGTTGTAGAAAAAATGGTTTTAAAAGTTAAAAAAAAAAATTGGCCACGCCCACCCAGTCACATTCCCCCCCACCCACCAAGCCATGTCCATAGCACTGTTAGTAACAAATTTTAGATTTCACCACTGATAAAAATACAAAACTTCTAAATTTGGAACATCCCGGAAATGAACCCACAACCATTTAACAGGTTAATAGAGTAGGAAGGGACCTTGTAGGTCATCTAGTCCAGCCCCCTGCTCAAACAGGGGACCCTATACCATTTCTGACAGAGGGCAGTCCAGTCTCTTCTTGAAAGCCTCCAGTGATGAAGCTCCCACAACTTCTGAAGGCAACTTCTGTTCCATCGGTTGATTGTTCTCACGGTCAGAAAAATGTCTCCTTATTTCTAGGTTGAATCTCTCCTTGATCAGCTTCCATCCATTATTCCTTGTCTGGCCTTCAGGTGCTTTGGAAAATAGCTTGACCCCCTCCTCTCTGGGTCAGCCCCTCAAATATTGGAATATGCTATCCTGTCTCCCCTGGTCCTTCTCTTCACTAGACCAGCCATGTCTTCTGTCCATCCATGGTTCAATTCAGGTGTCTTTCTTTCTTTCTTTCTTTCTTTCTTTCTTTCTTTCTTTCTTTCTTTCTTTCTTTCTTTCTTTCTTTCTTTCTTTCTTTCTTTCTCTCTCTCTCTCTCTCTCTCTCTCTCTCTTTCTTTCTCTTCCTTCTTTCTCTCTCTCTCTCTCTCTCTTCCTTCCTTCCTTGTGCTTTGGAAAATAATAGGTTGACCCCCTCCTCTCTGTGGCAGCCCCTCAAATATTGGAAGGCTGCTATCCTGTCTCCCCTGGTCCTTTTCTTCCCTAGACTAGCCATGCCTTCTGTCCATCCATGGTTCACTCAGATTGCTTTCTTTCTTTCTCTTTCTTTCTCTCCCCCCTCCCTCTCTCTCCCTCCCCCCCTCCCTCTCTCTCTCTCTCTCTCTCTCTCTCCTTCCCTCCCTCCCTCCCTTCCTTCCTTGTGCTTTGGAAAATAATAGGTTGACCCCTTCCTCTCTGTGGCAGCCCCTCAATTATTGGAAGGCTGCTATCCTGTCTCCCCTGGTCCTTCTCTTCCCTAGACTAGCCATGCTCAGTTCCTGCAACCGTTCGTCGTATGTTTTAGCCTCTCCAGTCCCCTCATCATCTTGGTTGCTCTCCTCTGCCCTCTTTCTAGAGTCTCAACCTCTTTTTTATATCGTGGTGACCAAATCTGGATATGATCTTACTAAGGCTTTATAGAGTGGTATTAGTACCTCACTTCATCTTGATTGTATCCGTCTGTTAATGCAGCTTAGGATTGTTGTTAATACAACTTAGGAAGTTGAACCTGCCCCAGTGAACGTGGCTTTCCCTCTTTCCGTGGCACTTACGCTATCAAAATCATTCTTCTCTCTCAAAGTCTTGGTGATGTGGTTGCAGGCCTTCACACAGGACTGGATTTCCGGAGCGGCGTGGCGTAGGCTGTTGCAGAAGTCCTGGGGGCCTCCATTCTCCAAGCCTTCTCCTTGAAATGGAAATCAAAGTAGAACAGCCTCTCTCTCTCCCCCAGAGCCCTCCGCAGGCCGAAAACACCCTCCTGGAGCCTCCGCGCGAGCCCTGTACTTATCCCAGGAGTCTCCACGGCCGCGTGGAGACTCCTGGGAGAGGAGGAGTGTCGTCAGTGTGGCCAGCTAAAAATCAGCCGGCCAGCGCATGCATGCGCGCTGGAGCTGAGCTAGGGCAACGGCTCGCGTGCCTGCAGATATGGCTCCGCGTGCCACCTGTGGCACACGTGCTATAGGTTCGCCGTCATGGGTATAGGGCAGGGGTGGGTTCTAAATTTTTTTACTACCGGTTCTGTGGGCATGGCTTATTTTGTGGGTGTGGCTTGGGTCATGTGACTAGGTGGGCGTGGCTAGCTGGTCAGAGTCATTTCTGGAAGGTCCTCGCACTTACGACCAGTCCTCGCACTTACGACCCGACTCATTTGTTTGCTTTTAACACTGATCAGCTGTAGGCGCCCCTTGAAGCCCCGCGGCAAGAGTTTAAACAGTTTTTTTTCCCTCTAGTCATCAGCTGGACTCAGGAGGCAGCAATAGATTGGGGGTGGGGCCAAATAAAAGGTAAGAATAACGTGGGTGGGGGGTGGGAGGGCGGGGGAGGAGAACCGGTTCGGTGACGTCATATCGTCACCGCTACCAGCTCTGCCGAACCAGGAGGAACCCACCACTGGTATAGGGTTTCCTGTCTGAGCAGCGAGTTGGACTAGAAGACCTCCAAGGTCCTTTCCCCCCTTTTTGTAAGATCTATTCTGATCTTCCCAAACCGTTGCCCGTTAACCCAGCCACATTCCCCCCGGCCTGCCACAAGCTCACCGATCTTGGCCAGGAGGATCTTCATCAACCCGTCCCGTTCCTTCTGCCTCTCAAACAGGAGTTCGCTTCGGGCTTTCCACAGCATGTATTCCTCGGCTTTGGCCATCAGCCCCAGGGAGCTCCGTCGCCGCGTGAGCCGATTCCCAGCGGGGAGCGAGATGCGTCTCATGTGCATGCCCAGGTAATTGGGCACCAGGTGCAGGAAGACCTACAGAGCCAGGCGCTAAAACACGTTGGGAAGCGGGAACAGAAAGGAACGCCAGGAAAACTTTCCATTTTTCACGGGAGGGCGGGGGGGGGGGGGAAGAGACCGAATACAGGTAGTCCTCGACTTATAACAGTTCGTTTAGTGACCGTTCAAAGTTACAACGGCCCTGAAAAAAAGTGATTTATGACTGTTTTTCACACTTGCTGCATCCCCCTGGTCACAGCATGGCTGGCTGGGGATTCTGGGAATTGAAGTCCACAAGTCTTAAAGTCGCCAAAGTTGGACATCCCTGGTCTAGACGGTCGTTTCGAATCGGGGGACCTCTAAATTAGATCGATGAATGTAAATTAATCAACCCCTTATTTAAAAAAAAAACACGCCGCCAAGCTTGAGTCGAAAGGTACCAAAACTAAAACCAAACCTCGGGGAAAATGGAGGAGAAGGCCCAACACTCATCCCTTGCGGTGGAAAGCAGAGCCTCCTTCGGACTCACCTGTCGGATTCGCTTGGACATCGAATGGGTGTTGGGCGTGCGCAGAGAAACGTTGAGGACAATCACGGCGTTCACCACGATAGCAATGGTCACCACCAGAAGGAAGGTTAAGTACCTTTCAATGGAAATGGGATCATGCTGTTTATCTTATTGATATCTATCTTCATCTATCCATCCATCTCTATCTATCTATCTATCTATCTATCTATCTATCTATCTATCATCTATCTATCTATCTATCTATCTATCTATCTATCTATCATCTATCTATCTATCTATCTATCATCTATCTATCTATCTATCTATCTATTATCTATCTATCTATTATCTATCTATCTATCTATCTATCTATGGTATTTCTCTCTCTCTCTCTCTATCCATCGCTCTCTCTCTGTCTGTCTCTCTATCTCTATCTCTATCTCTATTATCTATCTATCTATCTATCATCTATCTATCTATCTACGGTATCTCTCTCTCTCTCTTTCTCTATCCACCTCTCTCTCTCTCTCCATCATCTATCATCTCTCTCTCTGTCTATCTATCCATCTCTCTCTATCTCTATCTCTATCTCTAGCTATTATCTATCTATCTATCTATCTATCTATCTATCTATCTATCTATTTATCTATCTGTCTATCTATCTCTATCTATCTATCTATCTATCTATCTATCTGTCAATCTATCATCTATCTATCTACGGTATCTCTCTATCCATCTCTCTATCTCTCTATCATCTCTCTCTCTCCATCATCTATCTATCTATCTATCTATCTATCTATCTATCTATCTATCTATCTATCTATATATCTATCTATCTATCTATCATCTATCTATCTACGATATCTCTCTATCCATCTCTCTATCTCTCTATAATCACTCTCTATCCATCATCTATCATCTATCTATCATCTATCTATCTATCTATCATCTATCTATCTACGGTATCTCTCTATCCATCTCTCTATCTCTCTATAATCTCTCTCTCTCCATCATCTATCATCTATCTATCTATCATCTATCGATCTATCGTTCACTTCCTGCTCCAGTATCCAAATTTTGTCCATTTTGCAAAACACTCACTTTCCAATGAGAGGCACCGACTGAGACGTTTCCGGCACCTTTTTTGCAATCAGGAAAAGGAAGACGGTCTGGGCTAAGAGGACGTTGATGGAGACCGTGCACTTCTGCCCACCGGCTGCAGAAATAAGAGAGCGTTGGTTCTTCTTGGAAGAGGGCAGGGAAGAGGGAAAGAGGAAGGAGAGAAGGGAAGGGAAGGGGAAAGGGGAAGGCAGAAGGTGGAAAGTGGAAGAGGATAGGAGGAAGGAGGAAAGGAAAGGAAAAAGGAAAAAGGAAAAAGAAAAAGAAGAAAGGAAAGGAAAGGAAAAAGGAAAAAGGAAAGGAAACAGAAAAAAGGAAACAGAAAAGGAAAAAAGGGAAAGGGAAAGGGAAAAAGGAAAAAGGACAGGGAAAAAGGGAAGGGAAGGGAAAGGAAAAAGGAAAGGAAAAGGAAAAAGGAAAGGAAGAAGAAAAGGAAAAAAAAAAGGAAAAAAGGAAAAAAGAAAGGAGAAAGGAAAGGAGAAAGGAAAAAGAAAATGAAAAAGGAAAGGAAAGGAAAGGAAAAGAAGAAAGGAAAAAGAAAAAGGAAAGGAAAGGAAAAGAAGAAAGGAAAAAGAAAAAAGGAAAGGAAAAAGGAAAAAGAAAAGGGAAAAAGGAAAAAAAAAGGAAAGGAAAGGAAAAGAAGAAAGGAAAAAGAAAAGGGAAAAAGGAAAAAGGAAAAAGGAAGGAAAGGAAATGGGAAAGGCAAGGGAAGGGAAGGGAAGGGGGAGGATTATACTGTCCCAATATTCTCGTTCTCTTGTTACGCTGAGACAAAATATTTGGGAAATTGGACCAGGGATCCCTTCCAATCGTATCCCCGCTCTGCCACTGAACCCCAGCAATTTTAGAAGAGGCCCCCATGGACCCCAATTCATGCTGTCTCTGTTCCAATAACTACAGTATTTTTTTAACTTTTCCTCCCCTGCTTCATTAGGGGATCTCCAGGTTTCCCTTCTGCCTGATGATTCCAAGGACTTCTTCCATGAGGCCACCAGGACACTGACCTTTGGCAGGCAGGAAGTAGACCAGCAGGGCCACGGAGGAAATGAGCACGCAGGGGATGATGATGTTGACCACGTAGAAGAGAGGCTTCCTCTGGATGATCAAGAAGAAGACAATTTGCTGGTACCCAATGTCGCTCGGGGTGGAGCGTTCGGCATTCACAACTTTCTTGCCGGCCGGTGTTTGATCGCCCACTCGCCATTCTCTGCCGGAAGGAGAATCGGATCAGCCGTAGCACATCTCACACACATCCCTGGAAGGTCTAGGACAACTCACCGCGTACAACTCACAGCGTACAACTCACCACGGCCAACTCACCATGGCCAACTCACTATGGCCATCTCACCACATACAACTCACCATGGCCAACTCACCACATACAACTCACCATGGCCAACTCACCATGGCCAACTCACTATGGCCATCTCACCACATACAACTCACCATGGCCAACTCACCATGACCAACTCACCATGGCCAACTCACCATGACCAACTCACCATGACCAACTCACCATGGCTAACTCACCATGGCCAACTCACCATGGCCAACTCACTATGGCCATCTCACCACATACAACTCACCATGGCCAACTCACCATGACCAACTCACCATGACCAACTCACCATGGCCAACTCACCATGACCAACTCACCATGACCAACTCACCATGGCTAACTCACCATGGCCAACTCACCACGGCCAACTCACCACGGCCAACTCACCATTGCTAACTCACCACAGCCAACTCACCATGACCAACTCACCGTGACCAACTCACCATGGCCAACTCACCATGACCAACTCACCGCAGCCTGAAATTTTGTCTGAAATAGTACAGGGTTTCCCTCTGAGGAGGGGGATGGACTGGAAGGCCTTCCAAGGTCCCTTTCAGCCCTACCATTCTATGTTCTATAAGAAAGGCTGAAGCAGAAGCCCGCTTGGGTCTTGAATGAAGGGTCCCAAAGCGAGAAGCGAGAACCCGAACTCGGATTCTAGAAGGACTCCTCCCTGCAAGGGGATTTCAGCCAAGCGCTGGGCTGAGATGCAACATGAAAGCTGCAGAGCCCCCAAAATACATCATCAGTCTTATTCATAATGTTACCTAGTTGGGCCATGAAACATCTGCAAGAAAACCACCAAGCTCAGAGAGCACCAAGGACCCCACAGTCCTCCTCCTCTTCCTCCTCCTCCTCTTCATTCTCTTCCTCTTCCTCCTCCTCCTCCTCCTCCTCCTCCTCCTCCTCCTCCTCATCCTTCTTTCTCCTCCTTTTCCTCCTTCTTCTCTTTCTCCTCCTTTTCTCCCTCTCCTCCTCCCTTCTCCTCCTCCTCCTCCTCCTCTTCATTCTCTTCCTCTTCCCCTCCTTCTCCTCTTCCTCCTCCTCCTCCTCTTCCTTCTTTCTCCTCCTTTTCCTCCTTCTTCTCTTCCTCCTCCTTTTCCTCCTTCTCCTCCTCCTCCTCCTCCTCCTCTCCTCCTCCTCCTCCTCCTCTTCCTCCTCCTCCTCCTCCTCCTTCTCCTTTCTGCAAACCCTACTCCCTTCCAGCACTGATGATGTTACCTAGTTGGGTAATAAAACCTTTGCAAGAAAACCTCCCGAGCTCAACCCCTCGTGTCAACCCTGAGCTACAAACATTTTGCTTTATCGTTCCACGAGATCTCCAAGGTGTCTCTTAGAAAAAAAAAACAAAACCCCAAAACCTCTCTTTTCTTTCCATCTCTCAGCTGCGGTGCCAACACCAGGCGGAAACGTATTATTAAGCTGATGGTTTCCTGCGTTGTGTCTCCCAGCCCATGTCATCTGCTGGAGCGACAGCTTTTTAACAGGGCGAAATGACTGGCTTGTAATAAAAAAATAAAAATAAAAACCTCTCGTTGCCGGAAGACGCGGCTTGGGTTTTCAATCCGCTATTAACACATGACGGAGACCCGTCAGCCTCCGCAGGGCTCAGAATTTGGGGAGGGGGAGAGGGAGGCCCCTGAGAAAGCAGCGTCAACCTCGCCATCAGCTCTAGGAGCAAAGGGGAAATCAAGCCTCTTGCTGCAGAGACTTTATTAAGATGCAGCAGATTCACACACGCCAAGGAGATTTTGTCAATCCCTTTAACCAGCTGGGTAAGGACCTACCAGCTGTATTAACATGACAGCCAAAGTCTGCTGAGCTCTAAATCTTGGTTGGCTGCAGAAATGTGTGGATTATGCGTGTGGTTGAAGATACTGCACCAATCCAACAGCGCAGGATTTTTCGCACTCGCACTCGGCAACGCAAGGTCGGGCAAGATAACGGAAGAACAGAACCACAGAGGTGGAAGGGACCTTGGAGGTCATCTAGTCCAACCCCCCACCCAGGCAGGAGACCCTACACCATTTCTGACAAATGACAGTCTGGTCTCTTCTTGAAAGCCTCCAGTCGATGAAGCTCCCACAACTTCCAAAGGCAACTTCTGTTCCATTGAATATAGAATAACAGAGTTGGAAGGGACCTTGGAGGTCATCTATTGAATTTGAAATAAATAAATAAATAAAATAAAATCTAGTCCAAACCTCCCCCCCACCCCCAAGCAGGAGACCCTACACCATTTCTGACAGAGGGCAGTCCAGTCTCTTCTTGAAAGCTTCCAGGGATGAAGCTCCCACAACTTCCGAAGGCAACTTCTGTTCCATCGGTTGATGGTTCTCCCTGTCAGAAAATTTCTCCTTATTTCTCCTTATTGAATCTCTCCTTGTTCAGTTTCCCTCCATTATTCCTTGTCTGGCCTTCAGGTGCTTTGGAAAATAGCTTGACCCCCTTCCTCTCTGGGCAGCCCCTCAAATATTGGAAGATGCTATCCTGTCTCCCCTGGTCCTTCTCTTCACTAGACTAGCCATGTCTTCTGTCCAACTATGGTTCACTCAGATTTCTTTCTTTCTTCTTATTCTTTCTTCTTTCTTCTTCTTTCTTTCTTTCCTTTCTTTTCTTTCTTTCTTTCTTTCTTTCTTTCTTTCTTTCTTCTTTCTCTTTCTTCCTTCCTCCCTCCCTCCCTCCCTCCCTCTTTCTTTCTTTCTTTTTTTCTTTCTTTCTTTCTCTTTCTTTTTCTTTTCTTTCTTTCTTTCTTTCTTTCTTTCTTGTGCTTTGGAAAACAGCTTGACCCCCCCCTCCTCTCTGTGGTAGCCCCTCAAATACTGGAAGATGCTATCCTGTCCCCGGTCCTTCTCTTCACTAGACTAGCCAGGCCCAGTTCCTGCAACCGTTCATCGTATGTTTGAGCCTCTCCAGTCCCCTAATCATCCTGGTTGCTCTTCTCTGCACTCTTTCTAGAGTCTCCACATCTTTTTTACATCGTGGTGACCAAAACTGGATGCAGTACTCTAGGTGTGGTCTTACTGAGGCTTTATAGAGTGGTACCTCCCATTATTTTGATTGTATCCTTTGGTTAATGCCATTTATTTATTTACTTATTTATTATTTACATTTTTATACCGCCCTTCTCCCGAAGGACTCAGGGCAGGTGCACAGCTTGACATTAAAACACACATATACAAAAAATTTAAAAGCTATTTTAAAATATATTAAATAATTTGGCCCCAATATTATTAAAAAACTAAAACAACCATTAAAATTCATGTTTAGGCCAGCCCAGCTTGTTGGAACAATAACGTCTTGAGGCCACGGCGAAAGGCGCGTAGGGATCATCCGTATCTCCGGGGGCAATTCGTTCCAGAGGGCAGGTGCCCCACAGAGAAGGCTCTCCCCCTGGGGGTCACCAGTTGACATTGTTTATTTCATTTCATTTCATTTCATTTTATTAAATTTGTATACCACCCTACTCCTGAAGGACTCAGGGCGGTGAACAGGCACGAAATAAAACACATAAATACAAAAGTTAAGACATGATTAAAACCCAATTAAATAATTTTTGCCAAGACAATTTAAAACTCCCAATAATTTAAAACAAATTAAAATTTGAATTTAAAAATTTAAAAGAAGGGGAAAAATTGCATTGACATTTAGATGTTAGAGAACCACGGTGCCTTCCACCGTGCCCTTAAAACTTTCTTTTTTCAGCAAGCCGGGCTGGCCTAACACTTTTTTAAAATGTTTTTAATTGTTTTGTCATTGCTTTTAATTACGGGGCCAAATATATATATATATCTTTTTAATTGTATTTTAATGTTTGTAGTTTATGTTTTTACTTTGGCTGTACACCGCCCTGAGTCCTCGGGGAGAAGGGCGGTATATAAATTTGATATAAAAAAAAATAAAATCTCAAATGTCTCTCTCAACCCATGCATTCTATGATGCCATGATAGAAGAGGCTGGATCGGAAGAAGCAAAGGTATTCCAGACCATCCCGCAAATATCTGGTAGGTGATGAAAGAGGCAGGGAAGAGGCTTATTTTGATCTTATTGATTAGAGGTAATCCTTGATTTATTAGAGGACTGCAGGCTAAGACATATGAGGAACGGTTACAGGAACTGGGTATGTCCAGTCTAGAGAAAAGAAGGACTAGGGGAGACATGATAGCAGCCTTCCAATATCTCAGGGGCTGCCCCAAAGAAGATTTGGGGGTCAAGCTATTCTCCAAAGCCCCTGAGGGCAGGACAAGAAGCAATGGATGGAAACTAATCAAGGAGAGAAGCAATTTAGAACTAAGGAGAAATTTCCTAACAGAGCAATTAATCAGTGGAACAGCTTGCCACCAGAAGTTGTGTGAATGCTCCAACACTGGAGGTTTTACAGATGAGGTCGGAGAACCATTTGTGTGGAGTGGGATAGGGTTTCCTGCTTGAGAAGGGGGTTGGACTAGAAGACCTCCAAGGCCCCTTCGATTATTCTCCTCTCCTCTTATTCTGTTATGACTGCAATTGAGCCCAATAGTTTCGATGCTAAGCAAGAAAGTGGCTAGGTGAAGTTTGCCCTATTTTACAACCGGTCTTGCCCCAATCACTGCACTTGTGATTGATTTGATCATTTGGTCATTAAGCGAATCTGGCCACCCCCATTGACTTTGCTTGTTGGAAGCCGGCTCGAGAAGTTACAAAAAGTGATGCCCATGACCCCAGGATATTGCAACCGTCATAAATACAGACCAGTTGCTAAAGATCTGAATATTTTGATCACGTGACCGCGGGGTAATGTTGCAACGGTCGTAAGTGTGAAAAACGGTCATAAGTCACTTTTTCGGTGCTGTCGTAACTTTGAACAGTCGCTAAATGAATGGTCGCTAAATGAACGGTTGCAAGTCGAGGACTTTGGGCTCTGTAGATCGCAGCAAATTGCGGCTAACGTTTATTGAGTTATTTTATTTGCCCTTGGGGGAGGATTTGTCAGAGGCCAGGAAGCTGCAGTTAGAAGAGAATAAGGAGCAACTAAACAGTTCAAAATTGGGGAAAGAGTGTGTTAGGGGCTATATATCCATCCCTTGATTGATTTAATTTCTATATAATGAAATCTAAATGCTATTTAGTTTATTGATTTCTAAAAGAGATGAGACGAACGCTAGACTGGGAGAAAAATGGAATTGAAAGGGCTGCGAGAAACATCCGCCACCTCAAATACGCTGCGGATAAGAAGGAAGCGAAGATGACTTCAACACCAAAAAAATAAAATAAAAAGGGAGACAATACAATAGCCCATCTGCTCCTCCATATTAAAAAAAAAAAAATTACAATTATGCCGCAGATAATGAAACCCAGCGCAGAGAGGCGGAGGAAAAAGTAGGAGCAGTTTTATCTTCCTAGCCTCCAAAACCCAGAGAGATTGGGCCAAGCGATGCTAAAATAAAAGAAAAACGCATTTCTACTGGTTAGGAGAAAGACTTTTGAAAAATCTCGACGAACGATTAAAATGCAGAGACGTTGCATTCCCCGACAAAGGGATGTATTGTCAAAATTCGGATTCTTCCAGCTGGAGCATCTGCCTATGGAAACCTGCCAATCAGAAAAGCTGAGCAAAGGACAGCAAGGATGAAGAGCCTTCCTCCGAAATCTCTGGACCACCGGAAGATCAACTAATTCAGGACTACAGTAGATAAGGAGATGCTAATGGAAACACAAGGAATGCTGACACGTCGTGGATCCCCTGCGAAGAACTAGAGGCCGGTTTGATGGGGTAGAATAAAAAAAAAATAACAGAGTTGGATGGAAGGGACCTTGGAGGTCTTCTAGTCCAACCCCCTGCTCAGGCAGGAGACCCCATATTATTCCAGACAAGGGCTTGTCCAGTCTCTTCTTAAAAGCCTCCACCACAACTTCTGGTGGCAAGCTGTTCCACTGATGAATTGTTCTAACTGCCAGGAAATTTCTCCTTCGTTCTAGGTTGCTTCTCTCCTTGATTAGTTTCCATCCGTTGCTTCTTGTCCTGCCCTCAGGTGCTTTGGAGAACAGCTTGACTCCCTCTTCTGAGATATTGGAACACTGCTATCATGTCACCCCTAGTCCTCCTTTTCTAAAACATATCAAGAACTGGTTGCAAGAACCGGGCATGGCCAGTCTAGTGAAGAGAAGGACCAGGGGAGACAGGATAGCAGTCTTCCAATATTTGAGGGGCTGCCCCAGAGAGGAGGGGGTCAAGCTATTTTCCAAAGCAAAAGGAAGGATGGAAGGAAGGAAGGAAGGAAGGAGGGAGGGAGGGAGGGAGGGAGGGAGGGAGGGAAGGAAGGAAAGAAGGAAAGAAAAAGAGAAGAAAAGAAAGGAAGGAAGAGAGAAAGAAAGAAAGAAAGAAAGAAAGAAAGAAAGAAAGAAAAAAGAAAGAAGAAAGAAAGAAACAAGAAAGAAAGAAAGAAAGAAAGAAAGAAAGAAAAGAAAGAAAGAAAGAAAGAAAGAAAGAAAGAAAGAAAGAAAGAAAGGAAAGAAAGAAAGAAAGAAAGAAAGAGAAAGACAGACATCTGAGTGAACCATGGATGGACAGAAGACATGGCTAGTCTAGTGAAGAGAAGGACCAGGGGAGACAGGATAGCATCTTCCAATATTTGAGAGGCTGCCCCAGAGAGGAAGGGGTCAAGCTATTTTCCAAAGCAAAAGGAAGGATGGATGGAAGGAAGGAAGGAAAGAAAGAAAAAGAGAAGAAAAGAAAGGAAGGAAGAGAGAGAGAAAGAAAGAAAGGAAGGAAGGAAGGAAGGAAGGAAGGAAGGAAGGAAGGAAGGAAAGAAAAAGAGAAGAAAAGAAAGGAAGGAAGAGAGAGAGAAAGAAAGGAAGGAAGGAAGGAAGGAAGGAAGGAAGGAAGGAAGGAAGAGAAAGACAGACATCTCAGTGAACCATGGATGGACAGAAGACGTGGCTAGTCTAGTGAAGAGAAGGACCAGGGGAGACAGGATAGCAGTCTTCCAATATTTGAGAGGCTGCCCCAGAGAGGAGGAAGGGGGTCAAGCTATTTTCCAAAGCAAAAGAAAGGATGGATGGATGGATGGAAGGAAGGAAGGAAGGAAGGAAGGAGGGAGGGAGGGAGGGAAGGAAGGAAGGAAGGAAGGAAGGAAGGAAGGAAGGAAGGAAGGAAAGAAAAAGAGAAGAAAAGAAAGGAAGGAAGAGAGAGAGAGAGAAAGAAAGAAAGAAAGAAAGAAAGAAAGAAAGAAAGAAAGAAAGAAAGAAAGAAAGAAAGAAAGTAAGTTTCATCACTTGAAGCTTTCAAGAAGAGACTGGACAGCCCTCGGTCAGAAATGGCACAGAGGACAGAGAACAAGGAGGAAAGTGACTTTCGACAAGAGGCATCAGGTCGATCACTAATGGTACTAATGCTAGGATGACATTCCGGATGTAGCAAGATCCGAGTCATATCACGGAATCCTTCCTCCCTCCTGCTTACCTGTGAAAGCTTTGGTATCGATATAAATCCATTCAATGGTTTTTCCGTCTTCGGTGGTCAACAAGAGGTTGATTTCAAGGGCATTGTAGGTCTGAGATCTTGCAAGGAGAAGACACACAACTAGGATCAGTTCATGGCATTGGTGCTGCTGGAGTAAGGTTGTAAACTCCTCCTCCTCCAACTTCTCCTCTTCCTCCTCCTCCTCCTCCTCCTCCTCCTCTAACAATTCCAACTCCTCCTCCTCTAACTCCTCCACCTCCTCCTCCTCCACTCCTCCTCCACCTCCTCCTCTAACTCCACCTCCTCCTCCTCCACCTCCTCCTCCACCTCCTCCTCCTCCTCAACTCCTCTAACTCCACCTCTTCCTCCTCCTCCACCTCCTCCTCCACCCTCCTCCTCAACTCCTCCTCCTCCAACTCCTGCTCCTCTAAATCCTCTAACTCCAACTCCTCCTCCTCTAATTCCTCCACTCCTCCTCCTCTTCTAACTCCTCCAACTCCAACTTCTCCTCCTCCACCTCCTCTCTCTAACTCCACCTCCTCCTCCTCCACCTCCTCCTCCACCTCCTCCTCCACCTCCTCCTCCACCTCCTCCTCCTCTAACTCCTCTAACTCCACCTCTTCCTCCTCCTCCACCTCCTCCTCCACCTCCTCCTCCACCTCCTCCTCCTCTAACTCCTCTAACTCCACCTCTTCCTCCTCCTCCACCTCCTCCTCCACTCCTCCTCAACTCCTCTTCCTCCACCTCCTCCTCCTCTAACTCCTCCAACTCCAACTCCTCCTCCTCTAATTCCTCCAACTCCTCCTCCTCTTCTAACTCCTCCAACTCCAACTTCTCCTCCTCCACCTCCTCCTCTAACTCCACCTCCTCCTCCACCTCCTCCTCCTCTAACTCCTCCAACTCTAACTACTCCTCCTCCTCCTCCAATTCCTCCTCCAATTCCACCTCCACCTCCTCTACCTCCTCCTCCTCTAACTCCAACTTCTCCTCCTCCTCCTTCTCCTCTTCCTCCAGCTCCTCCTCCTCCAACTCCTCCTTCTCCACCACCCCCATCACCTACGCCAGCCCTTCTTCCTCCTCTCTTCTCTATGATCTGGACCACTCAGCCAATGGCAGGGTTGGAAGGGACTACCTGAAAGTCCCACCGGATTTGAAAGTCCCACCAAGTGTAGCCCTGTTTTAATGGCCATGCTTTAATGCGGAGACCTTCTCCCAAGGCCACCGAGAAGATCTTGAAGGCAACTCAGATGAGGCTTCCCTTCCCCATCCTACTCCTTCCTTCCTCCCCATCCTTCCCCCCCTACCACAAAGGGAGCACTCACTGGAACACCATGGAGCAATTTTGCCAATCGAAGGGGAAGTAGGTGACGAAAACGGAGCAGACGCTCCGATAAATAGCTGGGGGCAGCCAAGTGATGCTCCCATCAGGAGACACCAAAGCATTGGTGTACAAGGTGACGTCGAAGACCCCGTTGATGCTGCAAGAAAAGAAGGGTGGAAGGAGATCAGAAATGAGGGGCCCTTGGTGCTCTCTGAGCTTGCTTGTTTTCTTGGAGACGTTTCATGACCCAACTAGGTAACATCATCAGTGCTACCGATAGTAAGGAGTGCTATTTGCTGTCAGTTTTGATTCTGATGACTTGTCTGTGGGGGTGGGGGTGGTCTTAGGGATTCTTTGACTGGGCTGTTTACTGACAGTTTCTTATTTGGGGTAATGTTTACTTAATTGTTGGTCTGAAGCAGTGGTGGGATTCAGCCGGTTCGGCTGGCTCAGGCGAACTGGTAGTTAAATTGCTGGCTGGCCCCGCCCTCCCACACCCCGCCCCTTCCAGGAGTCCCCACACGCCCCATTTTGGCTCCCAGGTAGGTGCAGGGAGGCCTCCTAGGCCCAAAATGGGGCCTATTATTTGAATCCCACCACTAGTCTGAAGTTGACCTTGGAGTTAATCTATACTGATCTGGATGCTGATTACTGGTGGAGAGGTGCGTCAAACTCAAGGATGTGGCTTAGATCTGGCCCGCAGGGCCACCCTAGAAACAGCAAAGGACCGTCCCGTGGTGCCTCTGCCAGCGAAAATGGAGCTCGTGGCCCTCTCAGGCTCCGTTTTCACTGGCAGAGGGAAAGGAAAACAAATTCAAAACAAAGCAAAAAGAGAAACGGTTCCCCTTTTTGCATTTGAGCATGCAAGAAGGGACAGGAGAGGAGCCTGGATAGCTCAACGGACAGAGCACTGTAATTTAACACCAGCTGTCTGCGATTAAAGTAAGATCGAATCTCGCCAGGCTCAAGGTCGACTCAGCCTTCCATCCTTTCTAAGGTAGGTAAATTGAGGACCCAGTTTGTGGGGGCAATAAGCTGACTTTGTATAAAAATATACAAAAGGATGAAGGCTATTGCTTAACGCATTGTAAGCCGCCCTGAGTCTCCGGAGAAGGGCGGCATATAAATCAAATTAAAAAAGGGGGGGGGAAAGAGGAAAGACAAAGATGGGAAGATGGGAAGAGAGCAAAGAAGGAAAAAATAAGGAAAGAGGGGAAGGAAGAAGAAAGGAGAAGGAAGAGGGAAGGAAAAAGAAGAGCAGGAAGGAAGGAAGGAAGGAAGGAAGGCAGGAAGGAAGGAAGGAAGGAAGGAAGGAAGGAAGGAAGGAAGGAAGGAAGGAAGGAAGGAAGGAAGGAAGAAAGATTATAAAGAGAATCTTTCTGAGGGAAGTCCTGCCTTAGCACTTGGCCACCAGAACTGCCCCCAACACCAGTGATGTCGAGCTGGCCACACCCATCCAGGCCACGCCCCCTCTCACGGCCCCCACTCCCCCCAAGTCAAACACAACTCTGATGCGGCTGGCAATGAAATCGAGTTTGACACCCCTGTACTGGAGTCTTTTTTCTCTTTTGGGCTAATTGATTGTCTCTTTTGCATAGTCTGTAGACGTCGTTCATGTCTATGTGTCTGTTGATGGCTGATTTGTCAGAGTGCCAGAATTTCTAGAAATTCCCTGGCATTTTTGGGACTTGGCCTGGTCTAGGATGGTCACATTTTCCCCATTGAAACTGTGGTTTAAATAGGTCTATATGTTGTGAAATTAAAGGGTTTCCATCATGTTTGTTTATTTATTTATTTATTTATTTATTTATTTATTTATTTATTTATTTAATTTTAAATTAGATTTATATGCCATCCTTCTCTGGAGACTCAGGGCGGCTTACAATGCGCTAAGCAATAGCCTTCATACTTTTGTATATTTTATACAAAGTCAGCTTATTGCCCCCACAAACTGGGTCCTCAATTTACCTACCTTAGAAAGGATGGAAGGCTGAGTCAACCTTGAGCCTGGGGAGATTCGAACTTGCAATAATTGCAGACAGCTGAATGTTAATAACAGGGTTTTAGTCTGTTGAGCTATCCAGGCTCCTTGTGTTCATGGATGCGTTCTGTTTGTCCTACATAGAGATTGTTGTAGTTCTTACATTGTATAAGAACTCCTTTAAGAGAACAGAAAGGTTTGGGGGCTTCCGTTTTCTGTCCAGCTGGCCTCACCGAGGAGACAGCTGGTTTTCTCCATTTCATCTCTCTGTCATCTTCTTTTAACAACTCCATAATCCCTTGCGGGGTGGAGTTCTGGGCAACTGAATGGAGCTAGCCGAGTGTTTACTGGCCAGATGCCCTTCCTGTCACCAATGCGGAGTTTTGTTCAGCAGATATTTTCTCATTCTGCCCAGAGAGAGAAAAATATCTGCCTCTACCTAGGATTGAACTCATAGCCTCCTGATTGTGAGGTGAGAGTTCCACCTCTAGGACGCAGTCACTCATGCCCTCGTCACTTCCCGCCTGGACTACTGTAACACTCTCTACATGGGGCTCCCCTTGAGGAGCACCCGGAGGCTCCAACTGGCGCAGAGTGCAGCCGCGCTGGTGGTTATAGGAGCAACATGGCGCTCCCGTGTGACACCTCTCCTGCGCGAGCTGCACTGGCTCCCGGTGGTCTTCCGGGTGCGGTTTTGGTTACCACCTTTAGAGTGCTCCATGGCTTAGGACCTGGTTATTTATGGGACTCCCTACTACCACAAACAGCCTCCCACCGGCCAGTACGCTCTCATAGAGAGGGGCTCCTCAGGGTGCCATCAGCTAAACAATGTCGACTGGCGGCCCCCAGGGGGAGGGCCTTCTCTGTGGGGGCACCCACTATCTGGAATGAGCTCCCCCCCCGGAGATACGGAGGATCCCGGATCTACGCACTTTCCGCCGTGCTCTTAAGATTCTCCTATTCCAGCAAGCCGGCCTGGCCCAATTTTCTCCCCTGTTTTAAAATTCTTTTAAATCAAAATTTTTAATCTGTTTTTAAATTATTGGGATTTTTAATTGTCTCGGGCTAAATTATTTAATCTGGTTTTAATTATGTTCTTAACTTTTGTATCTATGTATTTTATTTTGTGCCTGTTCACCGCCCTGAGTCCTTCGGGAGTAGGGCGGTATATAAATCTAATAAAACAAACAAACAAACAAACCGCACCACTCATTTCATCTCTCTGTCCCTCAAACCATTTGGTTCCTTTCTAACAAATGCCCTCGGGGATGCCCTGAACGCCTCACCCAGTGAGGGATTGATCCCCTATGGATCCATGGAAGGCTCCAACCAGATTATATATTGCACAAAGGGCTGCCATCAGAGGGAAAATGGAAAGCAAAACCAGCTTTTGCAGACTACTGACTTGTTCTCCAGGACTATATCTGGCAGCCAGATCAACGTCGAAGGGATCCGTAAACAGCTGATGTTGCCATACTCTTCTGGGTCCCACTGCAGACGGTAATCTCTCCATTTCTGGCAACAACAAACTTGATTACTCATATTGGCTTGGCAAATATCGACAAGATCGATATTTTAAAAAGTTTTTTAAAAAAAAGCCTCTGATGAGGTGGGCGGGGTAACCGAGCGGCAACCGGGCCAGGGACCGGTTCGGGGGCGTGGCCAGCCAATGTTATTACCAGGTACGGGTGGAATTCCACCTTTGCGTTCACAATCAAACATTCTGGGGTCATTCTCAAAAGTCCTGTGCGGTTTTAAATTTATTTGGGGGCCGGAGATAACCGGGAACTGCAGTTAAGCTGCCTGTTTAATAGGAGTCAGCAACATTCTCACGTATTAATCCTGGGTCTTTACTTACCATCTCTACCCATACATTTGTTGTGAGAGCCTCGTCGATCTCATTCTGGAAAAGCACACAAAAAAAATTGGGATTATAGCTAGTCCTCGATTTACGACCATTCACTTAATGACGGTTCAAAGTTACGACAGGCTCAGCAAAAGTGACTCATGAACCATCTGTCAAATTATGCAACACGACCTGCGGCCACGTCTTCATAACTGGGGCACGGCCACGAGCTCGAATTTACGGCAGTTGCCGCGTCGTGCGGTCACGACCTGATTTGCGACCTTCCCAGCTGGCTTCCGACAAGCAAAGCCAATCAGGGAATCTGGATTTGCTTAAGGACCACGTGGCTCGCTTAACAACCATGCAATTTGCTTAACGACTGCAGTGATCTGGTTAAGAACCGCAGTAAAAATTCCGTCCACAACCACTTCTGGAATCTTGCCAAGAACATTGCAGCGACGTCTCCTGGCAATCACCAGGCTTCAAAACTGATTGGATGACTTTGGGCCAATCACTAGGAGACGATGAGTTCTAGCCCCGCCTTAGGCATGCAACTTGGCTGAGTGACTTTAGGCAATCACCAGGAGACGGTAAGTTCTAGTCCTGCCTTAGGCATGAAAGGCAGCTGGGGGACTTTGGGCCAATCACCAGGAGACTGGGAGTTCTAGTCCTGTTTTGGTAATGAAAGCCAGGTGGGTGACCTTGGACCGGTCGCTCACTCACTCTCTCAACCCAATCCATTGTAGGAAGTTAGCACCCACCCCTTTCCGGGAAGAATGAAATATTTTAGGAAATATTAAAAAGGCAGAATATTATGTTTCCCTGGTTGAGAAATGGAGAAACATGTTTTAAAGACAAAGCAGCTCCCACCTCCCTGCCTCCCAACCCCCTTTGTTAATGGGCCAGAGGCAGAAACTCAATCTTTGTGAATGGACCATCATCTGCAACACAATAGGACCCATCTAGCAACAGAAACTCACCACATGGCACCTGGGAAGATTACATCAGCCAGCAAGGCTAGCTAAGACCCCCACCCCCTGGGAGTCTGACAACCAATCAGGATACTCTTTCTGGGCCCCAGGAAGTTCAAAGCCAGAGAAACCATAAAACCTGGGGACTCGCTGTATCTCGACCCCTTTTTCTGTTCAGGAACTCAAACCATGTGATCCTGTCCACCATTAAACCATCTTTCCAAGCAGTCTCCATGTTTCCAGTGTCTTTTCCCCCACTTGGAGCTGAACCCAGAAGGATATTTCTTCCAACACCACCTCACAGAGTTGTTGTTGTGGGAAAGTAGCAGTAGAGGTTTTGTTGGATATGTTTGCCACCTTGAGTTATTTATAAAAAATAATAAAGATGGGACATAAATGAATAAAACAATTAGTGTGTAGAACTTCAAGGAAGAAAATGAAAATGAAAACCTCCAACTGATATGCAGGAAGTATACATTCTCCAGCCGTGTAGAACATCCGGTGTCTGTTTTCCTCCTCTTAGACCGGGGCAGGGGGGCGAGATGGTGAAATGCTACCAGCTCATGCCGGTTTGGGCGAACCAGTAGTTTAAAAAAGCTACCAGTTTGTCTGAACCGGTATTTCCGACGATCAGCTGTGCCGCACGGTTTATATTAGCTAGAAAGCAGGAAATCCTGCTTTCTAGCAAAGCTATTCACGCAGCACAGCTGTTCCCCCACCCTTGCTGTTCTACTTACTTAGTGAAGTCTTCTTTTTCTGCACGAAGCGCGCATTTGTTTATTTGTTTGTTTGTTTGTTTATATTTATATACCGCCCTTCTCCCGAAGGACTCGGGGCAGTGAACAGCCAACAGATAAAACACAAGAAATACAAAATTTAAAAACAGTATTAAAATCCAATTAAATTAATTTGGCCCACAATTAAAACACCCCTATATTAAGACCAATAATTAACAATTTAAGAATTAAAACAATTTAAAAGAGTTAGGCCAGCCCGGCTTGCTGGAATAAAAACGTCTTTAGGGAATGGCAAAAGGTGCAAAGATCCGGGATCCGCCGTATCTCCGGAGGCAGTTCATTATGACCCGTGGACTTCAACTCCCAGAATTCCTGAGCCAGCATGGCTCCGGTTGAAGTCCACAGGTCATAAAGCGGCTCTTTCTGGAGACTTTAAAGACGGAAAAAGGTGGGACATTCTTGGCCCATCCTGAAAGCCCACGAGAAGGGATGACAACCCCATTCCTTACCAGGGAGATCAAGTTGGTGAGGGTAACCTTGAGAGAAACATTTACAATGTCCCCCTTGTCTGAAGCTGGGCGAAAATTCCGGTCATAATCGACCATCAGATCGTTGAAAAGATGTTCCTCCTGATTCCGGGTCAGGACGACTGGAAAGAAAGGAAGAAAGAAAGAGGGATATGAACAATATCACCAGGAGACGGGGAGTTCTAGCTTCACCTGAGGCATGAAAGCTGGCGAGATGACTTCGGGCCAGTCACCAGGAGATGGGGAGTTCAAGTCCTGCTTTAGTCATGGTAAGCTGACTAGGTGACTTTGGGCCAATCACCAGGAGACTGTGAATTCTAGTCTCACTTTTCATATGAAAGTCAACTGGGCCAATCACCAGGAGACAATGAGTTCTAGCCCCGTTTTAGGCGTGTAACTTGGCTGAGTGACTTTGGGGCAATCACCAGGAGACTGTGAGTTCTAGTCCCGCCTTAGACATGAAAGCCAGCTGGGTGACTTTGGGCCAATCACCAGGAGACTGTGAGTTCTAGTCCCGCCTTAGACATGAAAGCCAGCTGGGTGATTTTGGACCAATCACCAGGAGACTGAGAGTTCTAGTCCCGCCTTAGACATGAAAGCCAGCTGGGTGACTTTGGGCCAATCACTGTACACCCAACCCACCTCACAGGGTTGTTGTTGTGGGAAATATAGATAGGAGGAAGAAGTATGTTCACCACCTTGAGTTGCTTAAAAAAGGTAAAGGTAAAGGTTCACCTTACAGATATGTGCTAGTCGTTCCCGATTGGACTCTAGAAAATCCAGTTGCCTCTTGGGAAAAAAACCCACCTTTCGGACAACCATGTGGATGACTGAGAAACTCCACAGACACTTAGCTTGGTTACTGGATTAACCTAACTTGCAATTCGCCAGACCATAAACCAACCAAACAATCTAAGTCGGGAGACCATATGAAGCCCCCACTCCCCACCAAAACAACCTTAATAATAAGGCAAGATAACCAAGTTGAACAAACGTCATGGCCAGGTCTTAAACCTGGATTGAAGATAATGTCTGAACACATTTTTTTTTTAATTTGATTTACATGCCGCCCTTCTCCGGAGACTCAGGGCGGCTTACAATGCGCTAAGCAATAGCCTTCATCCTTTTGTATATTTATACAAAGTCAGCTTATTGCCCCCACAAACCGGGTCCTCATTTTACCTACGTTAGAAAGGATGGAAGGCTGAGTCAACCTTGAGCCTGGTGAGAATTGAACTCGCAGTAATTGCAGGCAGCTGGATGTTAAATGCTGCCTTAGTAAGAAGCATTAGCCTCCTACGCCACTCAGGCTCCCATTAAACTAATCCTGATGCATTTTAGGAAAACGGTGTTCTACATTTAGGGTAACAGAGTTGGAAGGGACCTTAGAGGTCTTCTAGTCCAACCCCCTGCCCAGGCAGGAAACCCCACACCACTTCAGACAAATGGTTATCCAACATCTTCTTAAAAACTTCCAGTGTTGGAGCATTCACAACTTCTGCAGGCAAGTTGTTCCACTGATTCATTGTTTTCACTGTAAATTTCTCCTTAGTTCTAAGTTGCTTCTCTCCTTGATTAATTTCCACCCATTGCTTCTTGTCCTGCCCTCAGGTGCTTTGGAGAATAGCTTGACTGCCTCTTCTTTGGGGCAGCCCCTGAGATATTGGAAGACTGCTATCATGTCTCCCCTAGTCCTTCTCTTCATCAAACTAGACATTCCCAGTTCCTGCATCTCTCAGGAAAGCCTACATCTGCCAACATCTGCTGCCCCTCCCAAATTTTTGTATTCTGACGTGGATGCATTTTTGCCAAGTTTTTACCTGATCTATCTATCGCAGGCGCTATCTTAAATATGCGAAAAGGTGTTTTTCTTTTTATGAAAAACTCGTCCGCATCATCCACTCTCTGTCTGATGCATTGCTGCTTGATCATGTTTGGTCTATGTTAAAATACAAGCACAACAACAGATTAACTTCTGGGCCATTTCAGGTCTACAAATGAGCATTTAATTAGGTAAGCGGCCAGTTTGTTTTCGGTCCAAATTGATTACTAATAAACAGCGCTCCGGTTTTGTGCCCGAAAATCCCTCCCTATCGGGTGCACAGTTCGTTGCCTGGCTAATGACTTTTTTTAAAAAAAAAAAATCCTTTCCATTATCAAATTATTTGGGAACAGCAAACCACCCAATAAATGGTAAGGACTCGGCCTGGGGAGAAACTTTGACAGATTAACCTCCATTAGGATAATTGCCTCTGCTTGGCATGGGTGCGTGGGAGTCCGAATTTTGATGCAGGCGAATGCCACCGCAGGTTTACCACCCACACTCTGGCATTCTCTCTGATGGTAGTCACGTTAAGGCAGCTTTTCTCAATTTTGGCACCTTTTAAGATGATCTTTTAAGTGGGACGTGGTGGCTCAGTGGCTAAGACGCTGAGCTTGTCGATCGAAAGGTCGGCAGTTCAGCGGTTCGAATCCCTAGTGCCGCGTAACGGGGTGAGCTCCCGTTCCTTGTCCCAGCTTCTGCCAACCTAGCAGTTCAAAAGCAGGTAAAAAATGCAAGTAGAAAAATAGGGACCACCTTTGGTGGGAAGGGAACAGCGTTCCACGCGCCTTTGGCATTGAGTCATGCCGGCCACATGACCACGGAGACGTCTTCGGACAGCGCTGGCTCTTCGGCTTTGAAAGGGAGATGAGCAGCACCCACTAGAGTCGGGAATGACTAGCACGTATGTGCGAGGGGAACCTTTACCTTTAAAATGGTGGTGGACTTCAACTCCCAGAATTCCCCAGCCAGCACAATACAGGTGGTCCTTGACTTACAACAGCGCTGAAAAAAAGTGATTTAGGATTGTTTTTCAAAGTGACAACCCCCTTGATTAAAATTGAGATGGTTGGCAACTGGTGGCTCTGCAGACTAAAAAGCATTGGGATTAACACCAGCTGTCTGCAATTACTATAAGTTCGAATCTCTCCAAGGCTCAAGGTTGACTCAGCCTTCCATCCTTTCTAAGGTAGGTGAAATGAGGACCCAGTTTGTGGGGGCAATAAGCTGACTTTGTATAAATATATACAAAAGAATGAAGGCTATTGCTTAACGCATTGTAAGCCGCCCTGAGTCTCCGGAGAAGGGCGGCATATAAATCAAATAAAAAAAAAAAAACTGGTTCATACTTATGACGGTTGCAGAGTCCTGGGCTCACGTGATTATTTTTTGCAACCTTCTGACAAGCAAAGTCCATGGGCAAGCTAGATTCACCTAACAACCGGGTTACTCTCTTATCAACTGCAACGATTCGCTTAACAACGGAGGCAGGAAAGGTTGTAAAATGGAGTAAATTCACTTAACAATTGTCTCGCTTGACAACAGAAATTGTGGATTCAACTGTGGTCGTAAGTTGAGGACTACCAATAGGGGACTTACTTTAGTGACCGTTCAAAGTTACAACGGCCCTGGAAAACAGGGACTTATGATAGTTTTTCACACTTTCGACCATTCCAGCATCCCGGTAGTCATGTGATCAAAATTTGGGTCCTTGGCAACTGGCGGTTGCAATATCTTGGGATCACATGACCCCCTTTTGCGACCTTCTGACAAGCAAAATCAATGGGGGAAAGCCAGATTCACTTAACAATCGTGTTGCTAACTTAAATCATCTAAATCAGGGGTCTCCAACCTTGGCAACTTTACGACTTGTGGACTTCAATTCTGGGAGTTGAAGTCCACAAGTCATAAAGTTGCCAAGGTTGGAGACCCCTGATCTAAGTGATTGTTGTGAGGCTTACTGAGTCATTACAAGACACAATTAGTCCCAAACAAACCTATTTTATTGTAACAGCTGAGAATTACGTTCATTCCCAGTTGAGTCCCAATTAGTTGCAAAACAAGTCCTTCGGAAGAAGTCCTTCGGGATAATCACCAATCTTCTTTGACACCCTGCCAAAGCCCCAGGGAGTTCAGAAACAAACAAGAGATGCCAACTGGAAACAGAGTTAGCAACGTTGCTTTCCTGCAAAAGGCCCCAGGTGCCTTTGTTTCTCTTTTAAGCCTCATGGGAGGGGCCAATCATCTCCTGGCCTTACTCCTGAGTCGTCCCTTTTGCTTTAGCTGCTGTTGCCTTCCGACAGCTCTGCGCATGCGTGCACTAGGAACAAGCTCCTCCTCTTCCTCTGCCTCTCTGCTGTCCAACTCTGGAGGCTCCGGAGTCCGTGCATCGCTCCCAGATGGCGCTGGCCCCATCTCTGCCTCCGATGCAGGGCCCTCGTTCGGGCCTTCCCCAGACTCCAGGACTGGCCCATGTTCCTCCCCAGCCTCCTCACTGTCCGACTCCGCTGCCAGCTCCGCAGGCTGCTGGTGGACCACAAACATGGCAAGAAAAGTGGGGCGAAACTCACTTAACAAATGTCTCACTTATCCCCATACATTTTGGGTTCGATTGTGGTCATACATCGAGGCCTATCGGTAGACGTCTGCCTCTGAGTGTAAATTTAGACTGATCAAGTGTTGCCTTCCAAGCGGTTTTGCTGGGTCGTGTCAGTCACGATTCAAAGTTCAGCTGGAAACCATCGGAAAGAAATCTTATCCTCGGGAAGAGGAAACTCTTAAATGGCAGAGTGAATTGATCACGGGCTGTGTGCAAACAATGAACTGTCCAAGTGTTAAGATAGACGAGCAGGCGTTATAAATAGCAACAGTGAGGGAGACGCATAAGATTAGCAACAGCAATAGCACTTAGACTTATATACCGCTTCACCGTGCTTTATGGCCCTCTCTAAGCGGTTTTACAGAGTCAGCCTCTCGCCCCCAAACAATCTGGGTCCTCATTTTACCGACCTCAGGACAGAAGGCTGAGTCAACCTTGAACCGGTCAGGATTGAACTGCTGGCAGTGGGCAGAGTCAGCCTGCAATGCTGCATTCTAACCATTGCGAAGGAAGGAAGGAAGAAAAGGAAGGAAGGAAGGAAGGAAGGAAGGAAGGAAGGGAGGGAGGGAGGGCAATAGCACTTAGACTTATATACTGCTTTACATTGCTTTACAGCCCACTCTAAGCAGTTTACAGACTCAGCATATTGCCTCCAACAATCTGGGTCCTCATTTAACCGAGCTCAGAAGGATGGAGGACTG